TTTTATATGCCTGTCGTCGCTGCTCGGAGGTAGGTGTCACTTTGGACTTTGAAGATCAGCTAGAGGTTGAGCATCCTGCTTTGGCCACAGGGGCACCAAATCAACACGACCCAAAAATTCTCACAGGAGCTTTAATGGAAGTATTTTCATTGATGACATGACATGAAATCAAAGGAATGAAAGTGGACTTTGGAACTTTACACCATTCATAAAAAGTGGCTGAAGTTCTTCCTCTTTTTAAAACGTATAGTGGGTATAAGGAAGTTAGAAGCTCTGAGATAAGTGTCCTGATGACGCAGAAGAAAGTGATAAAGACAGAAGAACAAGTTAAAGAGCGTGCTGTTGGAGAGAGCCATTAATTACACCTGTTTCAATATTTATTTAACATTTAAACATCTTGTCGGACTGGTTCATACCAGGTTGTCAAATTAGAAGTCAGAAGCATTGTTCGTTCAGCTTCTAAACACAACATTCAAACTGGGCCTCTCCTCCTGGGCTCATTGCCCAGAGAAGCTCCGTCCCCTGCAGGACGTAGTGTGTACGTTTACTGCTTGTAGCTAAACTACAAGCTAACGCACACTAGCACAAGCTAACCGCCAGTGTTTGTCACCTGCCTGTCCAACAGGAAGTAGACCAACTCCACCTCCACAGGTAAAAGACAACACAAGGTTCACCCTTGTTTTAGAACAAGCTTTATCCGCTTGGTGTTTCTCCTCACTGATTATATTTTCTCTTCTTTGATGCTACATCCACGTCCGTCATATTCACCGGTTTGAATCTCGTCCAATCACTGAATTGTTTCCACTCCTAAACTCACCTGCTGCGCTGTCATTGGCTGGAGGAAACACACCAGCTCCGCCCAGAAACGTCCCGAGTCAACCAGGACAAAGCAGAACAGTAAAATCCAGTCAGAGGACAGAGTCTCTGCAGACACAGTCACCACCACACATGTATGGAGGCCAGAAGGGACAATGGAGCAGCTTCACTTTAAGAGAAGTCTGTATTTTATTTTGAAGGAGAAGTCTGTATTTTATTTTGAAGTAGACAGCTGCTGACTCTACCTTTAAAGAAACTTCATTTGTATATCTGCTAACTTTAACATAATGACTGTTCACTGTCAGCGCAGACCTTCAGATGTGACGGGCCCTCACACTTCAGTGACACACTGACACATAAACCATGGACCAATCACATGTAACCATCAGACTGTAGTTAGACTTATAGAAGAATTTCACACAAACTATAATTACTGTTTCTTTTGTTTTGTTCAGCTTGACCCGACGACAGAAGTTTAATGACATGATCACATTCTGCTGTTGGGGGGTGACATGATACACTTTGAGAGTGTGAAAGTGTATTAATGAGTTAATACTGATGGACTCTTTACTCAGCAGCCTCTACCATCAGTGTGTGAATGTGTAGGTGTGACCTGCAGTGTTAAGGTCGTCAGAAGACTAGAAAAACGCTACACAAGTTCAAGTCCAATTATCATTTACAAAGTGGAGCTTAGAATTCTAGACTAAATAATCTTGATTTAATAGTTTCTAAATTCTTATTTTAAGCTTTTTTTTCCAGAGAAATGGGAAACATGTTTCCATGTTTTAAAATTATTTGTGTTCATGTTGGAAACTTCATGTAAGGAAGATGAATCATCAACTTCTGACACACGTTTGTATCACAGTTTCAGAATAAAGCAGTCGAGGGGCGTATTCGTTTTGATTTTAATACAGATCTGTAGGTATTCTTTGCAGAAGAGAAGAAGAGATGTGCCCACCAGATTCTTCATGTTTTTTTAAGGTCCATGTTTAACAAGAAGAACGACATGCAAACCGAGTGATCCTCGTCTGAAAAGCAGATGTTTTTAAACTATCTGATCGTCTTTGCATCGTCAAACAGCCGCTCAGAGTTTCATCGAACTACTAACACAGAAACTCGAACGCTTTATAGGAAAGCTCTTTTTCTTCCACATGTCAAACCAGCATCCTGAGGAGCTGCTGTGATTACAGAAGAGAGTACTTACGCACATCACATGTTTCTAATTATATCGTTAAGAATAATTTCAAGCTTTACTAAGACAAAGTGGGAGTCACAGAGAGAAAGAGAGAAGGGGGGGTGCAACCTCAGCTAAGCTTTCATCAATACAATGTGGTCTGCCTGCTGCAGAGTCCCTGTCCTGACATTAAAGATGATTAAGTAAGATAAAGGTGGAACAAACACGTGTGTCTAAGTGTGTGCAGAAATCAGCTGTCTTTTAAACACAACAGGAGAGCTCAGAGACTAAATCTGACATGAGGCATCCTAAACATTAACCTGCTCAGTCCAAAATGACTCATGAAGTCCTCATCGGTCCATGAAACTAAAGAAAGTAGAGTACTCACCGAGCAGAGACAGCAGCAGCGCCGCTGTCAGAGGAAGGCACATGTTGGCAGATGTGTGCACAGCAGGAGGAGGAGATGGAGTTAACAATGAAGGAAACAAAAAAAAAAACTTCACTGAAGTCGGTCAAGTCTTCCCTGAATGTGTGTGTGCTCAGCCTTCACATGAGAAGCTCAAACTGATGGAGTGTGTGAGTGTCTGAGTGTGTTCTCCAGGAACATGTCATGTGTGACTGCTTTTCTAAAAGTGTGCAGCCTCCCTTGTGCTTCTGTTTTTCAGCTGCAGACTGTCTGTGTCAGCCTGTGATTGGCCAGCAGGGCGACACTGTGTCGTGCATGGAGCCAGGGGAGGGAGGAAGAATACTTGGCAGCCCTGCAGGGTTGAGGTGGCCTGTTCCTCACCGACGTGGCAGAGCCCGGCACAATGCAAAGAAAAGCACCTGTTGATAATATTGTTCATGTGTTCTGAGAGAGGCCGATAACTCAATACTACAATATATCTGTGTGTTGATTTGTGGATAAATGCTCAGAGTGTTTACCTAAGATTACACTCCTCTGTGGTGGTCGGCTTTGAAAGGTGAACTTGAACTTTGCACAGCTCATTACATTTCTAATCAAGTCTTTGAATGACCTACATGCAGCTTAATGTGTTCATAACATCTCTACGTTCTACTTTGACCGCTTGCAGCTTAATGTTTGTTTAAAGCTTGAAGTTTAACTTTATTCCTTGCAAAGTTGGTCCTTATTTTGATAATAATTTTATTCTTTTTTCAGGCATCCAAAACGCTGTTGTCGTGTTAATGACAAAAGCCAAACTAGGGTTAGTCTGCATGAATGTTGAAGCTGGAGCGCTAAACGCTAACTGATCCACCTTAAACACAAACATGTGTCTATGTCCCCCCCCAGTGAATATGCCTCAGCTGCCCTTGTGACAGGGTTAAGGGAAAAAGAGAGGAGCAAAAATAGTAACTGGCTCTAAGAATAGAAGCCCGACGGCTCATCATTGTGGGCTCTTTGAGGTGGTCATTTTTACACACACTGGAGAGGCGCTGAAGTGGGTCAGGTCGTCAACTTGACTTGTTTAGATCACTGATTGCAGCAGGAGCTCCAATTTTGAGAGAACCGCGTCACTGCGTCACACACACACACACACACACACACACACACACACACACACACACACACACACACACACACACACACACACACACACACACACACACACACACACACACACACACACACACACACACACACACACACACACACACACACACACACACACACACACACACACACACACACACACGTCTCACAAAAATCATTCTACCCCTAACTTCTCTAAAATCTGTTTTGACATTTTGCACTGTGGTGAAGTTTGGCAACCTGACCTTTAAAGGAAAGATGACTAGGTGCTCTGTTGTTGTTCTTGGAGATGAAAATCAACACATACTTTAGCATCTTGACAATTACTTGTGACAGGGAGGACTGGTATCACTGGGCTAACAGGGCTAAAGACTGGTATTGCTTCTTACCATGCTAACCGTCCCGTTGATAGTACCGCTGAACGCAGCCTTTGCAGTGGTGAACTGTCCATCAGTGTCCATGTCGGCTACGATGTTAGCACACTGCATTGTGTAGAGAAACAAACACAAGTACAGAAAGACATAACATACAAACAAATTAAGAAATATCCAGATGCAGCAACCGATAGGAACTTCGAAAACATGAAAACGTGCTTATTTTGTGCTACAGAAAACAATTGCTCAGAAAAGAGCAATATAAAAGTCCTATCAGTCTTAACAGTCTTGGTTACTTTTTGCCAAGGAACAAAGGAACTGATCACTGATTTAAATCTCCCTCTCAGACAGGCTCTGGAAGACAGGATATTATAAACTTTTATAACGCCTGGAGTAAACAACCTAGCGGAAACAGAACACTCTGCTATCTACGAATTGACCCCAAAGACATGAACTGTGACCGAAACCAGTCTCTGCAAAGTCGTAAAAATTTACCATCTGTTTAAGGACTGCTGGAAAGCTGATTAAACCACAGCCTTCAATTCTGCATAAAATGAACATTTATGTCTTTCTTCATCTAGATATTTGTAATTGTCACATTGAATGTATAGTAATCATCTTTTTAAACTGAAAATCTGATGTTTAGAATACAAATAAGAGTTATAATAGTTTTAATAGGAATTTGACGTGGCGCGCTATTGCCATCTAGTGTTAGAATTTCCATGAATACGTAACCTTCACAATTATACATTTAGACGTGTTATAAAGCATACTCTTTGATATTAGCTATAGAAGGTGTTATGTAAAGACACCAACTTCTTTTCCTACTTTATTAATATGTCTTATTAAGAATGCTGACTGTATAACATGGTTTTGTTCACCTACAGGCTGGGATTAACTGAGGATGTTCCAAGGTGGTGTGATTTTCATCTCAACATGAATCTGATAGAAATGTTTGTCTAAATATATGACGTGAACCTACATCAACGTGGATCTGATAGAAATAATATCGAAATGAATGTACGGTGAAGTATGTTTAGATTCTTATTCTTAATCTTACTGAGTAAACTCGATTTAATTTAAACATTTGTCCTCTGGTCAGAGTGGGAGTAACCCTTGGGCGGCCCCCCTCCTCTCCTCCAGCTGATAGAAGTTCACACTCAGCTCAGATCTCCAGTTTTAAGCTTCAGGGTCTTACTTCTTGCCCGCTTCTCTTCAGGCTTTAGTTCGAATCACCTTGAGACTCTTAAGTTTGCGCCGTAAAGAGACAAATCTCTGCTGAACTTTTATTTTCAACGCAAATTTTTGGAAACATCAATTCTTTCTGGCTCAAGCAAGGCTTTTGAACTTTCTTCTCCAAAGTCTTTGCTCTTCAATTTTTAGTACCAATTTCTTGGTTTGGATTCATCGAGATGGCCATCAGGTTAATCTGAATTGGAAATCGACGTATCAAAAGACTCTTGAATGAAATGCGGAGACCAGTCGGCGGAGTTCAATCGAACACAACTCACAATAAGAGTCTTTGTTGCAATGGGTGTTGAGAGATTAAGTCATGAGTCGTGTCTATTCAGAGCCCACCTTTAAATCCAAATAGAATCCCAAAATTTGTTTATCAACTTTTTCCCTTTTTGATCATTTGCTGATTAAGTCATTCAAACAATACCGCGTCTTATCTCGTTACTAAATATATATTGTCACCATACGGTATAATTGCATCATCCCAATCATAAGAGTCATATTCTTTATCTGTTTCATCTATACCTTATTGTTTACCCTTTTTATATTACTTTTTACACACAAAATTCAGAAATTTGTCTGTGTGTTTTCTGCTTTAACATTTCTAGGACGTACTTCTTTCAAGATATGAAACTGACTGATTAATTAATTAACTAAGGTTACTTATTTTATGCTCATACTTTGAGCTGGTGCCCCGAATTAAAATTACAAGTAGAATTATACGCTACACTGCCAATAAAAGCAAAGCAAAATCAAGCTGCACGTCTTTTGACTGCCAAAAGACGACATGACCACATGACTCCGCTACTGGCTTCCTGTCCAGCCTAAGATTCTATTACTTGTTTTTAAAACTTTACCTGGATTGTCAATTCTTATTCTAAATTCAAACATCTATTTGGACATGGGGAAGAAAGTTAGCTATTGAAGTTTGACCATTGCATGACCTCTTGTGGAGAAAGCAACAGGGGGCAAGATTCAGGAGATGCAGACATATATGAGGAAGACTCGTCTCTGTGCAGACAGCAGCCCCTTGATTGGTGGAGAGACACAGGGTCGCTACAAACCTGCAACTCTCCAAACTGGCTCCTTAATATTTGTTAGTACCAGGAAGTCTCACTTCAGCAGGTTATATTATGAATAAAGAGATCTGCACTCGATCCTGATCGAGTTTATAGACTTGTGTTTCTGGAGAATAATATTTTAAAAAAGCCATTCCTTTCGGATTATTAACAGGCCGATTGTTTTAGTCTCATTATTGATGAATTGAAGTAATGAAAATGTTGGTGGCGCTGGCCTGGGTGGGTGTATGATATGTTTTATAAATTTGTTTGAATTTTTTTCAAACAACAGTTCACCTGTGAACATCAGAGACGCTCAATCCAGTGAAAATGAAGACACTTACGTTGGTCATAAGAATTTTATGACCATGACCTTAATTTTATTACGCTCCTATTTATTGTGTTTTTTTTATTCATATTCGTCCTTTTTTATTGTTTTTTGCACTTTGGTGAACTGAGGTTCTTTCAAATGTTCTCTAAAAATCCACTCTGTCAGGTGACTCATGAAGACTGAGTCAGATTTATTGGATCTGCAAACACAAGAAGTTGAATCACAAAAAGTTATTATAAGGGACGTTTTGTTTTTTTATTACATCACATCACATCAAACAATGAACCTCATGATGAGATGTTGGAAACATAACACAGCTGTCATAACTGTTCTCGTTTCAAGCTATCAATCAATCAGTCCGTTTCTATTTATCTATCTATCAATCAATCCGTTTTTATTTATCTGCAGAGGAGACAATCAGGACACTTGTCTCAGGTTTCATCAACGCTCTTCCTCATATTCACAGAGAGAGCGAGCTGTACCGTGCAGACTTTCTGTATGCATGCAAAAGGTCGACTAACCTCACCCGTGTGCACTGGTGGACAAAGTACATAACTGTCTTGAGTAAAAGTACAGTCCCTCCTGGTGCTTGCTTTAAAAAACAATCTTCAGGATTTTCACGAAGCATGAGTGAAGTCAGGAATACATGGGTGTACATTCTGCAACTACGTTATGTTTAGATCAAAAATTCAAAAGCGCTTTTACACCGCAAGTCACGCCTACACATTCACACACTAATGGTAGAGGCTGCTGTATGAACTCATCCATTCATACACATTCACACACTGATGGTAGAGGCTGCTGAGTAAAGAGTCCATCAGTATTAACTCATCCATTCACACACTGATGGTAGAGGCTGCTTTGTAAAGAGTCCATCAGTATTAACTCATCCATTCACACACATTCACACACTGATGGTAGAGGCTGCTGTGTAAAGAGTCCATCAATATTAACTCATCCATGAATACACATTCACACACTGACGGTAGAGGCTGCTGAGTGAAGAGTCCACAAGTAACTGAGCCACAGCCGCCCCTCTAATGAACTGCCTGATCTGAGGGACGTTTGTTGTGTTACTAGACTGTAAATATGAATGTTTGAAGCCTGAGCGACATCACCCATCTGTTCCTGCAGGAGGTCTGGAGTCCCATCGATGGCGGCCTCCATGCTGGAAATGCTGTCTCACCCTAGAAGCTAGCTGACTGAAGCAGTAAGCACAACAAACGTAACCATGGCAACAACAGCAAACACAAAGGGTAAAGTTAGATGGATGTCATAAATGGAGGAGCAACAAGTGTTGCTACAACATGTCTGTAAAACAACAGGGAGCTAACAGCTAGACACATTTACTCTTAAGGGTAACTAAACCCCATATTTTCAGTTGTACTGCTCGACCCTGGGATTTCAAAAAATGCATTTAGAATGTCAATGTATCAACTTCGAGACGGAGGGAGGCACGGGGGTAAACTCGCCCACTCACTCCTTCGCGCCATTATCAGTCGCAACATGATACAACGTTTGCCCCACACACACAAATACACACATATCTGGTTGTCGGTGAATAATATGTTAGTGAGTGGCGTGCTGAGTTGGACATCTTGTTGCTTCCACACACTTTTAAGAAGTGAACTGTTCAATCTGTCATGACCTGTCATCGTGTGTGGACACTCTCACATTTTGAAAATCATTTATCATCTCAGCAGCCTTTGTAGCAGAATTAGACAAATGCAAGTTACCTTTAAAATGATTCAAAAATGAAAGTCGATTTTCTGCCTCGGGTTATAAATCTGACCACGTCACACTAACAGAACGTGTCAAGCCTGCTTCTTTAACAATGAGAGAATTTCATTCCACAGAATCACCACCTCATTGCACAGGAACTAGTCATATTCCCATGAAATGGCCCAGCCCAGCCCGGCTCAATAGGTAAAGGTGATCAGATGGTATTATGATCGGTTGCACTCATCTTAAACTATTCAAAGATAACGATTCATGATGATGGTGAGAGATGAGAGATCTGATTTAGCCTAAAAATATTCGAGTACAGACGAACATGACGTCAAAACAGACACCAAATAAACAACAACAAATCATCCTCAGAAAGACAAAGCAACATTTTGTTTGCATGTTTTTCTCTTTATTCCCGCATGATCTTGTAGCTCTCCTGTGATCTTGTGAACCTGTGTGTACAGCTGCTCATGTCGGCGCTCCTCTGCTCTCATGCTTCAGAAACGGACCCATTGGGCGCCTTTTGAAGGTGCAAGACCGAGGCGCTGACCTAACGTAGCACACACAGACTGTGGAAATTGGCATTAAGTGAGCATGCAATTGATTTAACTCAGTTTTTTCTCAGGATTTTACACTTCAGTATCGGCTTACTTTTTCCACGCTGGACAGTGTTGCCAGATTTACGATAATTATCGTATTTGTACCATAATTTTGCCCTCTGTACGATCAATAATTACAGAAAAGGCCAAATGTATGATAATTTGGCAATGTCCCCATAACAAAACATTGTATGTGATTTGAGAGCAACCAATCACATCAGCATGACTGAGACAGCCATCACACACGCACCATTCAGCACCTAACCTGCACTCCCACCACTCTGCTGCCAATCAGATCATCACCTGATCCCCTGCTAACGCCTGTTGTTCGTTATGTGAGACAGACTTAACAAAAACGCACATCTCAACAATTTAAGATGCTACTAACTCAGCTACACAGCGGCTGGAGGCGGAGCAGATTGAAAACAATTTACACTTAAAAGTTTGTTCTTTGTTTGTTTATTTACATTAATGTGGTGTGCAGGGCAAAGTTTTGCCATTAAGTGCAGTATTTAGGACCTGTCTTGTTTTTTTTTTAATATGTACGAAAGTTTTAAGTAAAATACGATAATTTTAAAGCTGCAGTACGATAATGTTGTATTTCCCATCTGGCAACACTTGATACTTGCTACTTGTTTTACAATTTACCGCTCTGTAGAAGGACGAGTCCGTGAGCATGTGTATACTACAGCTTGTTTAGATAGGGTCAGGGGTTAGGACCTTACCCCTATGATTATTAAGAAAAGTACTCTCTGGAAGAGTTTGTCCGGCTTGCATAAAGAGGTGACAGATTGTTTTCTACCTGGCTTCATTCAGGGCATCACAAGATGACATCTCTGCGCCCGCTGGTGATTAGATTCCAAAGGAAATTAGTGAAACAAAAGTGACACAAGCAGTGTGCCAAAGAAGTGTCAAGTGGCACAATGATTAAATATTTTCTTGACATCTAATTTTGATGAGAGAGGTGCGGCTGGGTGTCGCTTGAAATAATTTGAATTCTAGCTGACAAGGACAGCCAGACTTTTCTTGGTCAGCTGAAAACAACCCACAGGTGCTCTATTCACCTGCTGTTCCTTTGGTACGTTGCTTTTATCGGGACCTGACCCTTTTATTCATTAGAAACTGATCTGAAATGCATTAAACAAATATGGTCATTGTGTTGTAAGAGTGATCCTATAAGAGCAGCATGTACACAGCGTGTGAAAGCTGCCAGAAACAACACACACATGTTTGATAAGAATCTGATGAAGAGCCTCGGTGAGTCTTAACGCTAACGTCATCTAGTCTTCCTGCACGACCGGTTCTCGAGCATGCTGACCTGTGTGTTCCTGATGTTTAAAAACACACCTGTTTTAATGTCAGTCATAATAACTGGGATTAAAAATGGGTGTGCACATTATACTTCTCAGACTTTTGTTGGATTCCCACCTTAAATTCAAGACATGTTTAGAGACGGTGAGCAGGATGGCAGAAACAGACTTGGGGCGCACTCACACCGTGCTTGAGCACGATTGCCCCCGCTGGCCTGCACTCACACTGCTCCAGGACTAACTGGGCCTGAGCACCGTTACCTCTTGTACATAACAACTTAATACAACCCATGCATGACTTCACATGATCATGAAGCGTGTTCAGTTTACAAGACAGGTGGACTCGAGAAAAAAAAAAGGGATGAGTGGTTGATTCCGCGTTTGCACATCAGAGAACAACACAGAGAGCATGACAGCTACTTGACTGACTTTGTGTCTTATTCTCATGTCATGTTAGTCATATACAGACAGAACACTCAGATTTCTCCATAATGAAGGCTGTCCACGTGCATGAACTGTACGGTGTCGAAGCACACCTCTTCGACACCGTACAGTGTGCCAGGGCCGAGGAAGTGTACCCTGAGCACGGATCGGAGCACTCTCACTAGTCAAACAAACTGGACTTTAGACTTTGTAAGTGTTCTTCATTAATAGTCCAATCAGTAAGATGTGTAGTGAGTGAAATGATAGTGACCTTACTATATGATCAGACATTAAGGAAACATGCTATGTTGAAGTGTTGTCGACTTTGACAAAAATGCAGCAGCAAGAATGTCCTCCTACTAACTTTAGATTCTGGTTCTGAATGGTCTGGATTTGTTTGGACCAGAGGAGGAAGGTGGTTTTAAGGCACACCCACACGGCCGTTTTGGACGCCCCTTGATTTGCCAGATATGAGAGCAGTTATCAGGTCAAACCAACAGGTGTTGCAGCGATGGAAGCGGGCAAGAGAGCTGGTTCAGATAGAAGCTCCATGAGCAGAAACGTGCTCAAACTAGGATCAATATTGGAGATGCTTTTGAAAAATGGAGAGAGGTTAGAACGCAGAAAGGTTTACAGACCGATGCAGAGCTGGCTAAACACTGAAGCTTCCTGCTCACCTGCGTGAGCATCAACTCTAGAGAGGAGGGGGTGGGGGGAGACAGCTCTCTGCAATGTTTTGAATTTACTGCAGTACCCATTTCAAACATCATTTTAAGAATAACAGCAATTAAACATACCTTAAAAACCGGCTGAAACCAGTTTTACCACAAATAATTAGAAAAGAAGGTGCCCCGTGTGAGGCATGCAAAACCCCAACAAAAACAATTAATGAAATTCATAATATGAAGAGAATAACACATAGAATAAGGAATTTAGGTGACGTCTTTGTGTCACGATGGAAGAAGTAAACAAACAAATAATATGGGGGTGGGGTTGTAGTTGAACAAAGAGCAAAGATGTGCGTGTACTTCAGCATTGAACTTAAGCCAGAAGGAGATGGTGAAGTACATGGGACAAAAAATAAGTAAATAAACACTATTAGAGTAGATCAAACCAAGGCCCATTTTATTTTTTTCATTTTACTTTTAATATTTTTTTGTTAAGTTTGTCTGTTCTGTTGCTTTTCTTCACATTTTTCTTTTCTGTCATAGGATAAGCTAACAGAAGTAAATATTCATGTCTGTGTAGAAAATGTACTTATGTTTGCATATACTTTATATACAACCATATGTAAATGCATTTATATTTGTTCTGATATTATATGATTATTTTTTTTCAAAACCATCAAAACAAAAGTACTTAAACAAAGTAGTAGGTCAAGTGTTTACCTCCTTGATACAAGTGGGAGCGAGCTGGAACACAGTGGGCACTCCTGAGCTGGTGGGGTTTCGTGCCTTGTTCAAGGGTACATCAGTAGTGCTCAGGAAATTAACTATGAATTGCCAGACATAGTCTACACTGTGACTTGACCGGGCAAACCTCCCAGTTCCCAACCCAAGTCCCTACAGACTGACTTACTGCCGCCACTAAAGACTAGACACAAAAATAACGTTACCTGATTTAAAATGATGAAGAGAAAGAAAAGCACACGACGAAGGATCATTATACGTTCTGTGTTGTTTTTCTCAAAGGTGATTGCTCCTCTTTAATCTGCACTCATATGTTTCATATTAGTGTTTGCAGAGTGCACCAGCAGCTTATGGCCACTAGATGGAGGCAGTGCAGTAACTAACATGAAAAACTCAAAAGCATTGTCTCTCTTAACAATTATAATGCCTATACGTCAACCTTTAAACAATCTCATACACCTTTCATCATCAGGTCCTCATGAGGAAGGATTTAGACTCCTGGAAGCACTTCCTTTTTTTTATAAAGTGTGTTTTTTTGTCTTCCTCTTGGATGCTTTACCGCTGCTATAGGGCCTCGTAAAATCAGCAGGGCACAAAGAAGGGCAGATTGTTCCTTTGAATCAATCAGTTTGTCAGCATAAAAAATATACAGGAAGTAACTTAACTTTGAAAAATAAGCAGCGTGTCTGCAGGTCTGCAGAGCCAGAGGCTTCACGTGGGGGATCGTATTCAGACCACGTGTCAGGTAGATATTTATAGTCAGATTAATTTCTGATGGATAATTGTGCAGGTTAAACGTCTTTACGTTGAATTAAACTCTTACCTTCACACACCGTGAACACCTTTCCGTCAGAATTGGGGCAAACATAAATAATTGACGTCATCAGCGCGCCTCCGTCACGTGCTCTCCGGCTCGCATGTATGATGGCTCTGCCGAATAGTGCGTCGTCTTTCTCAGTGACTGAAGGTTCACTTCCTGCCATATTGTGAGCCGCTGTTTCCGTGTTTATCCGACGCATCTGATCTACAAACCATGTGCGCTGCCTCACGGAGCCCGGTGAACCCCATCACACCGAGTGCACATCAGTGAAAGTGCTCCGACACGTCGGAATCTTTGAGTTTCAAACCGAGGATCAGAGGAAAGGTCCGGGCTCGCTTCTTGTGTTTCTGCAGGACGACTGTGAGCTCCTTACCTGGAACCTGCCATCCTACCTGCAGGTAATTTACATGACGTCATTTTATTCACAGTTTTAGGGCGCGAGCTGTTTGTACTGTCACTTGCCTTTCTTTCAGTAAATGATTGAAGTTTACTCGAGTTGATTCTAAAACCTGGTCACTCTGTTTGGGACAAGAGCTGCAGTGTTGTTTACTGAGTCACTTTATTTTAACCCTACAGAGCATAAATACATAGAAACAGTCTGAAGGGTGCAGCAGGTGTATTTAATATCTGCAGGGGTGGCTGTGGATCAGTGGTAGAGTCCGTTGTCTCTTAACTGTACATTTGTGGGTTCGATCCCCAGCTCCTGAAGCCACATGATGATGATGTGTCCTTTGGTGAGACATTTAACCCCAAGCTGCTCCCGCTGCTTTATCGGTAGTGTATGAATGGATGAGTTAATACCGATGGACTCTTTACTCAGCAGCCTCTACCATCAGTGTGTGAATGGATGAGTTAATACTGATGGTCTCTTTACTCAGCAGCCTCTACCATCAGTGTGTGAATGGATGAGTTAATACTGATGGTCTCTTTACTCAGCAGCCTCTACCATCAGTGTGTGAATGGATGAGTTAATACTGATGGTCTCTTTACTCAGCAGCCTCTACCATCAGTGTGTGAATGGATGAGTTAATACTGATGGTCTCTTTACTCAGCAGCCTCTACCATCAGTGTGTGAATGAATGGATAAGTTAATACTGATGGACTCTTCACTCAGCAGCCTCTACCATCAGTGTATGAATGTGTATTAATAGATGAGTTAATACTGATGACTCTTCACTCAGCAGCCTCTACCATCAGTGTGTGAATGTGTATGGATGGATGAGTTAATACTGATGACTCTTTACACAGCAGCCTCTACCATCAGTGTGTGAATGGATGAGTTAATACTGATGGTCTCTTTACTCAGCAGCCTCTACCATCAGCGTGTGAATGTGTAGGTGTAACCTGCAGTGTAAACACACTTTGAATAGTCAGAAGACTAGAAAATAAATAATCAAGCTCAAGTCCGTTTACTTTTGGAGCATCAATGGTCGTTCGGTTATGTCACGCGCCCCATGTGCAGGGGCTGCAGTCCTCGTCATAGCGGCTCTGGGTTTGGGTCCAAGATCGGCCCGTCATCCCCTTTTCTCTCCTTTCTAGGTTTCCTGTCTCTCTACAGCTGAATATATGCGTGAAGGTAAGATCTGTACTGTAGTAAATCAATTTGACTCCCCTTTCAGTCTATGACGTGTGATATTTTATTGAGAACTTTGACATCAGCATGAAATCTCGTTGACGTGCATAGACTTCATTACTCCCCTGATGGTCGCACAAGTCAACTGTGACTGTTAATTCTCAGTTAGCTCAACATGTTTTTAACCCCCCTCCTCATAATCAGAGGCAGGCTTGTAAAACAGTAAGTGAAACCATCGACCTTTAAATGGTGAGCATCTGGGTGTCTTGCTCCCTCTCGGTTTCCCGCCTTTTCAACATTTGTTCAGATTTTTTTCTTCTCCGACTCGCTCTTCCTCTCGTCATGCCCCTGGGTTCTGTAGATCAAAAGTCTGGCGTACAGCCGCCCCCCTCACTCTCCCTCTACTCAAATCGCATGTTCCCCTGAGCAGCCCCTCAGCACCTCTGGCTCTTAGATATTTCTCGACCTGTAATGACTCCCCGAGGAGATTCATTTCCACACCAAAGCGCGGCCGTGAGAACTTAAAAAGAGCGCAGACAAACATGGAGACTCTCTCTAAAAGGCCTGACAGACTTCATTTCACATTTCTGTTGATTTTCTTTCCCCCTCTTCCTCTTTGTGATCCGCAGGGCTTGCTGTGAATGTTCTCCATATGGACCTGAAATCCAAAACGGTATTCCCCTCACTCACTGATTCAAGAGAGGCCTCTCTCAAAATCCTTCAGGGGATTTTCTTTAAGTGAGATATTTAACCCAGAGCTGTGATGGAATAGATAGAAAACACGCTCTTGTCTTTATTTCCCTCCTCCTCTGAACTTCCTATCTGATGTGAGCTTCATTTTCTCTGCTGTTTGTCTCCAAGTGTTTGGTAAGTCCTCGTGAATAATGCAGTCAGTGCGGCCTCTCGGGAGGACAGACAGAGACACTTTGAACTCCAGTAGTTATTCTTACATGAGCTAAGAGAAATAGCTCCTTCTCAAGAGCGAGAGGAAAACAGCTGTTAAAGGTGGCGTCGGAAGAAATGTTTGTAAACATTCAAACTGGGCCCCTCCTCCTGGGCTCATCTCCCCCTGAAGCTCCGCCCCCTGCAGGTTGTGGGGCGTACGTTCACTGCTTGTACCTACACTGCATGCTAACGCACGCTAGCACAGGCTAACCGCTGGTGTTTGTCACCTGCCTGTCCAACAGGAAGCAGACCAACTCCACGTCCACAGGTAAAAGACAACACAAGGTTCACCCTCGTTTTAGAACCTTGTGTTTAGACCTCTTTGTTTTTTTGAACCAGGCTGTAAACATGTTAATCTCTGCTGTAAAAACAGTCTTTTTAGAATGGGTGTGTATGTGACTTCCTGTGCCTCTGCAGCCAGCCTCTAGTGGACACTTTCTAGACGCAGGTTTCTGATTGGTCTGAACACGTCTGCAGCTTCTCTGAGCCTGAGCTGTACTTGCTTTGTTTGTTTTCTTCGCCCTAATGAACGTCTCGGTGATCAATCCAAGGTACGATTGAGCTAACCTTGATGACCACGCCGGGTCACAGGAAGTACACTGTCTATTAGGGCGGAGGAATAGAGTCACATAGATTAATAGAGCACCGGCAAGGGATTGTCGATGAGGCATGTCCAGAGTTAGACGTGATTGCTCGGGAATGTTTTTGAGAAACAGGAAGTGAAGCAGGATGAGAGGATACAAAACGATGGATGTGGTTCTTCTTGCAGCGACAGGTGTGAAGACGAGGATGAGCTGCACACACATGTTGCAGCTCGTGTGTGTGTGTGTGTGTGTGTGTGTGTGTGTGTGTGTGTGTGTGTGTGTGTGTGTGTGTGTGTGTGTGTGTGTGTGTGTGTGTGTGTGTGTGTGTGTGTGTGTGTGTGTGTGTGTGTGTGTGTGTGTGTGTGTGTGTGTGTGTGTGTGTGTGTGTGTGTGTGTGTGTGTGTGTGTGTGTGTGTGTGTGTGTGTGTGTGTGTGTGTGTGTGTGTGTGTGTGTGTGTGTGTGTGTGTGTGTGTGTGTGTGTGTGTGTGTGTGTGTGTGTGTGTGTGTGTGTGTGTGTTGCAGAGCCTAAAGCCATAAACGCACACGGCCGGGTGAATTTGAACCTGTCCAGAGGACACAGATGACTTCATCATTACCTCACCCGGCTCTGCTCGAGGACTTATGAAAAACATGTGGCCCCGCTCCCCCTGCTCCTCTATGGAAACTGATTGAGTCCTGGACTCTGATGTTTTTCCTTTGTTAGAGGACGTGTGTGTGTGCGCACAAGCAGGCTTCATTTTATTATCTGGGATTTTCTCGTCTCTCTCCGGGGTTTTGACCTCATCTGTCAGTCATCTGGCTCGCGTCAGTGCAAAGCCCTGGGTTCAGTCTGACAGGGTCCAGGCCTGCTGGGTGCATGAGAGCTGGAGCTTTGTGAGTCTGCTACACCCAAAGACAGATAAACATTCATTCACCGTATCACAATCAGAGCACGGGGCTTTAAAGAGAAGGGGAAAAAGTGCTCACTCGTTCTCCAGCTGAGAGTTAGAGGAGGACTGAGTTAAGTCTTAACAGTTACTGATACACTGCCTTTAAGGTCACATTCTATAAAATCCTCTTCTCCATGTTTCTCTAACTCTAACATGTGTCTCTAGTCCGTCTACAAACCCCCCAATGATGAGAAAAGCCCATCCTCTCCATCTTTTACCTGCTCCACTTTTCAGAAAATGTGTGATCAAACAGGCCGTTTGGAGATTTTCCCTTCATGACATCACAAAGGGCAGTAACCCCTCCCCCAGGTGGGTGACACTCCCACAGCTAGGTGTTTGTTCTGCCCTCTGAGTCTGCCTTCTCACCGTAAACAATAGGACATGGAGTGAGAAAGCACGAGATGGCGGTGGCTGGGCGTCAGGGACTTTCGGGTTGCAGTAGTTCCCGATCACCTCGCTGAAGTTAAAGAGTCTTTAAGGCCTGAGTGAAAAAGTAGAACTCAGAAAAATGCTCCAACACAAGATTGAAGATGTGACCGTTTGTTTCTAAGTATATGACCTCTCACTGACCTCTCACTGACTCCCCATGATGACCTCAGCAGCCTCTGATCGGCGTCTTCACTGTGTTTATGTCTCAACTCTGACTCCTCCCACTGAAGGCGTCCTCAAAGCGGAGCGGCCTCTTGTTTCTCGTTATCGTGCGTCTAAAGTCAAGCTGTTTGATGCCGTCTGTTTACATTCCACAGCTGTTTAGTTGCCAGAGCCGCGCATCCCAGCGGGGGTGGGGTTACAATAACCTTATTATTAAACACTGAAAGCATCCGGCCTGGTGCGGACAACAGCTGATTTCTGTCCAGTGTGTTTGAATAACATTGATAAACAATAACCTCTCCAGTGCTCGTGATGGGGACTTTTTGCTCACACAGGCTGTTCTCTGTTCCACTGCGGGGGGGTCCCGGGCATGATGTTATCCCCGGTCAGCAGGGGGTCTTCCCTGTAGAGAGAATGCCGTTTGCATGGATATTAGAGTGGAGTTACCATGGCGATGGGGTCAGACTCTGACCATGGGAGAAGAGAAGGTGCCAAATTT